TTCCTTTCAGCTTCCAAACTTCAGAAAAAGCCACCAAATCAAGCATGTCCCTAATCCTCCCCATTAATACAATGCCACAGGCATCCTATTCAATTATCAGTGGGCTGAGGGTGGTTTATGTGGCTAAGGAAGAGAGGAGGGTTATGATATAATCTGTCTCCTCAAAGAGGTGGGTGACTTGCTGAAAAAGCTCCCAGATCACCACTTTAGCCGACTGCCAGCTTTCTTTTCCCAGCTCCTCCCCAGCCCAGGGTGAGATCCGTGGTGTTTGTGACAGATTTCTGAGTCACAGCTTGCTGACCAGCTTCAGAAGTTGGTGGGGTTAGGATTAAAATTGGCTGTGTTGGAGATTCCTGGTGCTGAAAAGGCACACAGGAGGAGAACATCAACTGAACAACGTTTCTTGCCATATTCTCTGATGCTTTTACTGATTTATCCCCATTTTATATCAAAGCTATTGAATTGTTCTCCAAAGTCTGATTTTTTTCTGCGTGTGTGTCACATAAGGAAAATTCAACTCCTTTTCTTGGAAGGGGACTCAGTAATGACTGAACCATGCAAGTGATACTTAGAACTTCCCAGCAACTTTCCAATATTGTTTTCATATTAAATCAGGGAGCAGATTCCAAAGAGAGATTTGGAAAATGAAAATGAAAAAGCTAAAGCAGGTGATGGAACACTTTTTGACCAGAAAAAGAAAAATTAAGAGGAAAGAGTTATTTTTCTTTTCTTTTTCTATAACTGGGAGAAAAGGCTGATTTGGAACTGTTCCAGCAAATGTTTCATGTTAATATCTTTTGCCATCTGATTGGCACTAAAGTATAATCAAAATTGTTAAGGAGACTGTAATACAGGTGCTCCAAAAAAAACTGTTTTGCAGCTCCTGGCTTCCTGTGCACTTTTTCAGTGGGTAAATCCTGGCTGGATGTCCTGACAGGGAGGACAGGACACTGTCACCAGTGGTGTTCCCTGGGGATCAGAGTTGGACCCAGGGCTGTTGGGTGTCTTTATTGATGATCTGGACGAGGGGATTGAGTGCACCCACAGCAAGTACCAGGGTAACACCGAGCTGGGTGGGAGAGTTGATCTGCTGGAGGGAGGAAGGCTCTGCTGAGGGATCTGGGCAGGCTGGAGGGAGGAAGGCTCTGCTGAGGGATCTGACACCGAGCTGGGTGGGAGAGTTGATCTGCTGGAGGGAGGAAGGCTCTGCTGAGGGATCTGGGCAGGCTGGAGGGAGGAAGGCTCTGCTGAGGGATCTGGGCAGGCTGGAGGGATGGGCTGAGGCCAGTGGTGTGAGGTTCAACAAGGCCAAGTTCTGGATGCTGTCCTTGGGCCACAACAACCCCATGGGGCACTACAGGCTGGGGGAGAGTGGCTGGACAGTGGCCAGAGAAAAGGACCCGAGGGTTGAGAGTGACTGAACATGAGCCAGCTGTGCCCAGGTGGCCAAGAAGGCCGATGGCATCAGAAATATTGTCCCCAAAGGACAGTGATTGTCCCTCTGTCCTGGGCACTGCTGAGGCCGTGCCTCGAGTGTTACCAGCAGCACCCAGGCCTCGGTGCTGCATTCCAAAATAGATGTACACTGCAGACCCTTCCCAGCCTATTTCAGTCAACAATCTTCAGAAGTGCATGTTCTTTCCACCCCTGTAGTCCTCTTTTTGGTCTAGAATTGTGTTCTGTGTCTGGTTCAGGAGGGCATCGGGGGCCGGAGCGAGTCCAGGGAAGGGCAGCGGAGCTGGGAGGGTCTGGAGGGTGAAAGCCCCGTGAGGAGCAGCTGAGGGAGCTGGGGGTGTTGGGGCTGGAGAAAAGGAGGCTCAGGGGGGACCTTGTCACCCTCTAGAAGGGGCTGACAGGAGCGGGGAGCCAGCTGGGGATCGGCCTCTCCTCCCAGGCACTGGCACAGGATGACAGGACACGATTATCACATCTTTTGTTTGGAAAAAAACCGCAAAGGCATCTCTGCAGTTCCTGCATATGTCTTTTTATGGTTTAATAGAAGTTTAAGGTCAGTTTAAAATTAGCGCTAGTGATGGCTAGGGACAATGGATCCCAAAGATCACTTCCCTGGGGACTGGACACCTGAGCTTTACCTTCAAAACAGAGAAAGCTGTCTCTTTTGAGGAGCCAAAACCCCAGTTTTATATTTTGAACTGTTGGGAAGATCTCATCTGCAGAAGGGATAATCTCTGCCTGAGATGTACAGGTCTTGATTTGTGTGTGCAGGCTCAGACATCGCAGCTTCCAAAAAAATTACCTTCTCAGAGTAATTCAGGCTTTCCTAAATTTATTTAGTCGTCTCTCTCCACAATGTGAAATGCTGTGTTGCTTAGTGAGTGCCTTTGCAATTTTTTTATCACCTTTCCAAACAAAAGATGGGATAATCATGGGTGAGAGAGAAGAAATAATAGAAGAGAATCTTCTCAGACTAGATAATAATGATTATATCTCCACAAACTAATAGGATTTCAGCTAAGAAATCTGAATAGAATGTGATAAAAATAAAGGTTAAAAGTTAAGCTTTTCCACTGATTTCTAACGAGGTGTAAGAAACATGTTCTTATAAAATGGGGTAAGTATTTTTGGTTTTGATGTTTCAAACACCATCTTACACATAAAAAGGTTTTAACCTGTATCAAAATGCAGCAATAAAAATACAGTTTTAAACATCTCCCTTCCATGAACTGCAATGATAAGTAAGAAATACTAACTGAATTACTTCCAGGTCACTTTACAGCTGCCACTTACCTTGCATTATTTACTAGATTGTGAGGTTAATATTTCCCCAGCACCATTTGAAATGGTGCCCTATTACAGCTGGGGGAAATCCACATTAAAGCCTGGAATACATACATGTTTTAAGAAATGTGTCATTATTTGCATAGCATGACATAGCGCAGCAGTATCAGGACAAGGATAAAATCAAGACACATATTTTAATGACCTGCAGAGTAGATTGTACTGCCTCAAGCTTAAACACCTGAAGCAGAAAACACCACTTTGATTTAAGAGAAAATATTTCATAGACCTTGTGCTCCCCTATAATTTAAATGTTCAAAAATGAAACATTTAAGGGTTTAACCACCTAATTTTCTCCCTGACTGTAGAAATGCTGCCAGCATCACATTATTCTCCTATTGTTCCTTTTCCTGTTTTTGTTCCCATTAAATTATTAAAGTGGACTGCTTATGTATTTATGTAATCCGTTGCACAAAGGGGTCTCATCTGGATTGTAATGCTAAACAATAAATCAAAATGACAAAACCAACCAATTTCTACATGGCATACACTTGGATACCTCCAACTTTGTATAAACCCATAAAAGAAGACTTTTAAAGAGACTTGTCTAGAATATTATTACCAGAGGCATGAAAGCAAGCACTTTTTTTGTGTGTGTATCAAAGCATCTGGAGGTTTTGCTGTGAAGTCAATTTTAAGAGTAGCTTCAGTAAAATCAAGGCTCAAGTTTGGAGGCAGGAGTGCAGCTTTGGCAGAATGTGGTTATAAATGAAAATGTATTTTAAACATGATCAGAGAGCTGATGGGAACACAAGGCTAAAGAACTAATAGTTACTGTAGGTTAATTAATATTATAATTAATGTCATAAGCAACCTATTAAGGCTGTGAGACACATTATCTGTATTTTTCCAAATGCTTGTGTCACTTCTGGATGTGCTTACAGTCATTACTAACAACTACTGTTCATATTTGTTTATAAAAGCACTTAGTGCTCAGTATTTTATACATTTCTATGGAAATTATGACTGATTAATGCTTGTTATTCATCCCTTAGCTGGACTGATTTCAGATAAGTTGTGCTGTAAATTGAGAAGTCCCAGGCTAAGTCCTGGATTCTGCCTAAACTGCTGAAGAATTCGTATTTTGTGACTGCAGGCAGGGTTTAGGAAGATTAAAGGAAGTCTAGGTAACTCTATTATTAAAGGCTCCAGCCACAGCATTTCCTGCTCTCGGTTTTACCAGAAGCAAAGCTGCAACACTGAAGTGTCACACAAAGATAGGAAATAGGGAAATAGATGATGGTGTAGACAAACATTCATTGCAGACCAAGTGGATTAACTGGCTTACAGGTGGAACTGTTCTAATGTATTCTGTCACAGTTCTGTCTTTTACAAAGCTTGACCTTGTTCACTGACAGCTCCATCCAGCAAACTTCCCTGTATCATGGAAAATATTTCGTCTTAAAATGTAAACGTTGTTTTCACATTCAAATGCCTTGTGTTACATGTTTTCATTTCCAAGGGAGTTCTCTTGGGCTCACCTCTTCTGGTGTTACCACAGGGGAAGTATTTTAAACTGGCCAACATTTCAGTTAGTTTTCAGAGGGAAGGCTGAGGGGGCAGTTTGTTTTTCCAGCTTTGCTGGCAGAGCTGACTGCAGCTTCTGGTTTGTATGTGTCTGAGTACTCGTCATTTTTACTGTTTCTATGGAGCACCAGCTGATGGAAAGGAAGAAGTCATTCTGCCTTTTGGCAGGTCAGTTCCCTGCCTTCTCTCTTGCATACTGGGTCTTGCTCACAGTTAATTTAAAAATAACAACCCCGAGACCTAGGACAAATCAGCTGCTTTGACTTCTCTACAGCTGTTGCAGTGTACCCTGGAGCTGTTGAAGGGTTTGAACACTCACATATTTATGTTTCAGAGCAGTAAGTCCCGGTACCCTGCTGGGCTTTGTGCACGCTGGCAAACCCTGGTGGCACAGTCAGCTCTGGAGCGTGACTACAGAGTGCAGTCCATCCACAACGTTTGATGCTCTTGCTTGCACTGGAAAAGTATTTAAAATAATTTTAGAATGTTAATTAACACGTGCCTCATTGTTTCTAATATTGGATATGCTGGTGACGTTTATGTCTCGAGACTATCAAAAGAAAATGATCTCATATAGTACAAAAGTCCCTATTTAATAGGAATGGCAAAGATTCATCATGTGCCTTTCTCTCAAATCAGCGAGATTTCATATTGAGGGGAATTTGCCTTTTTAACGCGTTTTCAAAAGGAATGTAAAATGTGAGGTGAAGGGAGGAGAGCAGCACGGCTATGCCGAGCTGAATGGTGAGTTACCGAAACTAATTCGGGATGCTCCGGGATGGAGCGTGTCCCTGCGGGGTGGGGAGCGATGGANATCCCTCCCGGGGGAGCCGGGCATCCCTCCCGGGGCCGGGCATCCCTCCCGGGGGAGCCGGGCAGCCCTCCCGGGGGAGCCGGGCATCCCTCCCGGGGGAGCCGGGCATCCCTCCCGGATCCCTTCCGGATCCCTCCCGGATCCCTCCCCGAGCCCTCCCGGAGCTGGAAGGAGCCCCAGCTCCCGCCTGCCTGTGCCTTCCCCGGGCAGGGACCCGCTCCCCATCCTGCATCTTGCTGCTTTCGTCTTTTTTTATTGTTATTTTCTTTCCTGTTTCTGTTCGTTGCTTTTTTTCCAAGCGGTCTGCTGCTAGTGGAATTCTTGCTGTCCCCCTTTAAGCCCGGCTCCGCTAATCCGCGCTGTCCCTGCGTGCCTTGGGATGATGAAGGTTTTCCCCCGGTGCCGCTGGGGTTAGAATCCCTCTGGGATCGTAACTGGGGCACTCTCCCTTTGTGTGATGCCTTCTAATGGGTGCCCTGGGAGTGGGGAGGCACCGGGAGACAATGCGGTCATTTCCTGTGAGTTTGAGATTTGACATGACTTTTGCTTTACTAGGGGATCTTTAGGGTATTCCTTTATATTTTCATCACCTGCGTGGTGTCACAGCGTCACCCTCTCAGCCTGCCAAGCGAGCTGGATGGTAAAGGAGGCTTGGGGTAGGTGAGAACCTGTACAAAATCTAGAGGAACCATCTTCCTCTATTTCTGCATAACCTCCTCTGAACGGCCAAACCCCAGTTCTGGTCTCTGCTAAACCTGGAAAAGGAGAATACACCATGTGGTGAAGGATTCCTGTCAAATCCCACTCACTCCAGGCAGCTTTGAGTGCTCTGGGAACACAAAGCAAATGGAGCGAGCAGGGTGGGAAATCCCTGGCCTTCCCCGCTTGTCAGAGCACAGAACTTTGAGGAGCTTTGCTTTGCCTTGTGCTAACAGCTCTCTAAACATGGCATATCACCATTCATTCTCTGGCTGCACTCGTTTCTCACACAGTCTTGTCATCTTGCTCAAAGGAGTAAAATGCTGCTGCTTATAATTTTTTCCCACCTTTCTTCCCTGGAGAGTGGGTCATAGCAGCTTCTTCAAGTTTTAAGCTTTATCATGCAGCCCTTAAGTTTTTCTTGATTCCCGAAATGGATTTTTAAAAGGCAATGTATTCTTGTCTGTGTGCCAGTGGAGTGCACTGTGGAAGCACACATCAAGGCAGGGATTTTCACAAAGTTAATTGACTTCCCTGATGAGGCTGGAGCATAACTCCTCCAGGTTTGTTGGCATCAAACTCAAATAGCCTTGTTTATTTGCAAGGAAACAAAAATTTTGGTCACTAGTTCTTAGAGCAGCACAGAAAATGTGCACCTGAATCAGGGGACAGTGTAGCATGGGTTAGAACATAAGTTTTTGGGTTTTTTTGGTGACTATCCATAAGCCATAGGCTAGATTTTCTTTTCCTCAAATAATGCTTCTTTTAAAGTTGAAGAGGGTCTTTCAGAATTAACTAAGTGAACAGTTTGGTGATAAGTCCTAAAATATTAGGGGGTTTAAAAAAAGCTTTACAAGCTTCTCATGCCTTATTGAAACTACTTTGTGTTAAAGATAAATATATGAGTAAAATAAAAATCGCAGATCCTTAGCTCAAAGTGGGTTTTCCATACTTATATTTGCCAAATAATTATAACTGGGGTTCTCACAGGAACTCCTGTGGCAAATACTGCAGATTAGGGCGTTAATTTAATCAGATTTTGCTTGGAACTGCAAGATGCTGTGAATTCTGGCTCATGGTGCAAAACTCACTGAAGTTATTGAAGGAAACGTCCCAAGCTTGGCTGGGTTTGATTTGAAGGTTAGCTTTAAGAAATTCTGTGTTTGAGAGTTGTTGCCAGAAATTGAGTGAACCAGCTGCTGCAATGGTTCTAGACATGGTTACAAGGCTTATCTGTACTTTGCTACTAAACTTTTCCTTGGATCACTCCTTTTTTGTGTTGGAGAGAGGTCTCAGTAGCTCAGATGTTCTGCAGTGCTGAGCAGGCATGAAATTAGCACGGGTAATGGAATTACATTCCATAGGATACCCTGCAAATGCCAGAGAGCTTTAGCTGCTGCATTTCACACACAGGGTTGTGCTAATATTTCATTTTAATTTGCTTTCTGATTGAGTTGTTTGGTTAGATGCCATCTGGGAATTCCTTAAGCATATAAATTGCAATCTTGTAACATTTTATAAAGTGTCCTGGAAATGAGAAGAAATAAAATGTGCCTTCATACAGAGCCCTTTTTAAAGCATGTATTTTTAAAAATCTGTTTTCATGGCAAGAAAAGTGTCAGACTGAAAAGAGATTTCCAGGTAAGAGAGGTTCAGAGGGGATCAAGGCTGGTCCGTGTTGTGTTTGGAAGGAACTGTATGGACAGGGAAATCTGGGCCCTAAAGAGAAGAACCTTGTGGAGCTGAAGCTCGATGCTGAAACCTGAGCTGGCTGAAACCTGGGAATCCCGAGTTTTCCTGGCTTGTGGCCAGACGCCGCTCACAGGATGGCTCTGGCCGAGTGACTTTACCTTTTTGCAGGATTTTCTGTGGCAGTGTGGTGGGGTTGTGGAGTGAATGAGATCCGAAAGCTCCCCCAGCCCAAATCCCAGCAGCAGCACGAGCTGGGTGCTAGCAGGCAGCCCACTGACAGAAACCTGTGCTTCCCACCTCCGCTGGAGTTTGAGACAGGATGGTGTCTCCCTGGAGGTTAACTTGTGTCTGTGCTTATGGGGATGACAGGAACTGAGCAGAGGACCAGATGGGTAGTTTGATGCAGAATGCAGCCCTTTCCATGCCTGCAGAGGTGTGTGGCACATGGACCGTGTGGTAGCACTGAGTTTCATTCCCAGAAAGTGTGCTTTACAGGGCTGAGGTTAACAGGTGTTAAATGGGATAAAAAAGCCCTGTTCTGTTGAGTTCCCAAACACCAAACTGGCTCAAAACCCCCAAACACTCTCACATTATTAAAATCAATATGAGAGTGCTTCAGAGAGATCACAACATATCCTTCATCTTAATAATGCATCATGCATTGGCTCTGACACCAAAACCTTGCACTGAGTCGTATGTGCAGTTGGAAGATCAAGGGAATGGACAGGCTGCTCTTAGTCTGATCCTGAGTTTGTATCAGCAACAAAGTGAAAAACACCAGCCAAAAGGGAGAAATGTGTTTTCTGCAGCCTCTCTTTAGGCCTTCATAGTTCATGGTTTAATTTTCCTTGCAAAGCTAAGCTGTGATTAAAGCCACATCACTCAGAACACCGCTGCACATCATCCTGTCTTACTCCACAATGTCATTTTTCAGCCTTCCTAGTTTTAACCAGATGATGTTTCTGTTGTGGAATTATCTTAAAAGATTATAGACAGTGAAGGATATGACATGAACTTGTTTCCTAGCCCCCACCCCATCCTTCCTCCCAACCCCTTGGGCCTAAACAGAATTACTGAGCACTTAAGACATGGGCTAGATCTGAATGGAAGCTGTAACACACAGTTCATTTCTGTGAATTAGCTGAATTTTTAGTTAAGGTTGATGGATGGTTACTGAGACATCTGTGTCCTGCTAGGACTTTGCTCCTCCATCCTGGCAAGCTGCTGCATCTGTTCCTGTCAGAGGAATATCAGGACTTGTGTGGACTTGGGAAGAATTGAAAGAGAAGAGTTGTTTACATTATCTTTCATTCTGCTGCTTAGAATGATTTGCTGTGTGGATTTGCTTGAGCTAATATTAGCTATCCCAGAGCTGGAAATCTGATCACCCTGTGTGGTCAGCTGGGCGAGGGAGAGGTCCCCAGTGTGTGATTCCCTCAGTCCCTGTGTCAGGCTGAAATTATTTGCTCTCAGAAACTGTGTGTTTTGAGCTTGGGAGCACATTCTTAATTTTAGCCTGGGAAAGATTTGAGTAGGTAAATGTTGTGTTTCTTACCTACCCTTTATTTCTTGATCCCAGACACCAAGAGGACTGTTGTGTGTCTTTTGCAGCCTGGCTCACTAACCCTGGCTGGGTTCCATAAAGTCAGCTCGGCAGGACTCACACTGCTGCTCCACCACGCCTCTTACTCCTGAGTTCTTTCCTTTTGGGAGGAACTCATGGCCAAATCCCCGCAGCTTGTTTCCCTCAAGCCCAAAAGCAATTAGGCATGTTTCTTTACCGAGCAAGGCTTGAGCAGCAGGCAGCAGCCCCAGAGCACCCAGCTCTCGCTGCAGTGCAGAGGGCTCTGTGTCCCCTGTCTGTAGCAGATCTGCTGTCCCAGGGCACCCGGCTGCAGGGGAAGCGCTGCTCGCAAGTGTGAGACAGGCAGCATCAATCCCATTATTTATCCTCTTCACACTGTGACTTCTCAAGTCATTCTGGATGGCTGCATGTCAGTGCAGATTAATTGGAATTTAACTTTCATGTTCTTCCATGCTTAGGGATGAGCACACTAAAGAAACCTTAATATAGTTATTTAATCTGGAGGACTTCATTTGCTGTAGATTTTCAAGCAATACTGGAGGTGTAGGTATTTCAAGGACAACCAACTGAAGACAATGTTGTTGCTTATGTTGACTACACCTTGATAGTATATTATTACTATTCTTAAAATTGACATTTTAGTGCTTTTAATATCTTTACCTCCCTTTTAATTATTTTGTTGCTGGTTCTTCCACTGAGGATTTATGGCACTGGGGTTAGGATGCAGAGGGCAAAACTGAGGAGTGGTAGCTTGGCCTTGTTAAGGTAACTGGGTTTTGTTGCTGGATATTGAATGATTCCTTTGATGATTAAAGCTGTTGTCTTCAGAATGAGATTTCTCTTTTTATTTTGTTTTCCATTCTCCTGATTTTCTCCTGATTGCCATCTAGATTTCTCTGCTTCTTCAGAGAATGGCATGGCAGATTTATTTGAGATTGTTTCTTTTGACAGAAACAAGAGAAGTTTTATTTGGCCACAGAGTGAGGGTGAATGATGGCTTTGTAGTTGGGAAGGGAATTGACCTGGATTCCTTTTCCTTCGATCATGACAATTTCTGTAGTTCACATGAAAGAAGTCTTCAACAGAAGGTTAAGAAAATTAATCAGGAGCAGAGCTGTGACTTCCATGCCCTCCACAAATCCCTCATTGCTAGGCTAGAGAAGTTTGCCTTTTTCTCTGAAAAAGTTCATTTTTGTTGACATTTGTTATCTCTGCATAATGGCAGAGCCTGAGTGGAAGGAGGGGTTTTCAGTGCAGTGTTTGAGCAGGGTGCCCGGGCTGAGCAGGCGAGGGAGGAGCTGTTCTGCGCCAGGTTCCTCACTCAGTGTGACACTGGTGTCACTGGGGTGTCACTGGTGTCACTGGGGTGGGTGTCACTGGGGTGTGTGTCACTGGGGTGGGTGTCACTGGGGTGTCACTGGGGTGTCTGTCACTGGGTGTCACTGATGTCACTGGGGTGTCACTGATGTCACTGGGGTGTGTGCCACTGGGGTGGGTGTCACTGGGGTGTCACTGGTTGTCACTGGGTGTCACTGGGGTGTCACTTTGGGGCTGCAGCTGTGCAGGGCTCCCAGCCGAGGTCATTCCTGCCAGCCTTACACCACTTCAGTACTGAGAAGCGATTTTTGTCTGTGTGACCAGAAGAGAGGTAAATCCATCTGAAATGAAGCACAAAGCCAGACTCACACCCAGCTGCTGGGAATTGTGTGCAGTGTGGGAGATCAGCTTGTCCCCAACTCGCTCTCTGCTGGCATCCCCTAAGGCAGGTCCTGCCTCTGTCCACCCCAGAGCTCCCTGGGCTGTGACGAGCCACAGAAGCAGTTTACTTTAATTCTGCATTCGACAGAAAGGTCTCCAGTGTCACACTCTGAGAGTGCCCAAGCTGGGGAGTGCTGGGGTGGGTGGATAGCATCCATCTGAATGTTAGGGACTTGGTGTGTAAAGAAAATCTGTGGTGATTTTAAAAAGCAGATTTTGGGCTCAGCTCACAGATGAGATGGCTTAGCTGCCTCCTGAGGGTGATGGAGGATCCTTGTTTGTCTTTGGAACAGCCCAGGAACTCGGTTATCAGCTATTAATGGATGGGATGGGGACAGGAATCCTCTGTAGCTGGTTAATGGCTGTCCTCGTTTCTTACAGCCATGGGACTGTGGTGTCAGCCACACCTGGCCTGGAGATGTCAGACTGGGCTCTGTGGTGTCTTGGGATTGTCCCTGAGGCCAGAGCAGTGAGGTGATTTACTGGTCCCAAATTAGCAAAATTAATGAAGTTTATTTTCTGTCTAATACAAAAATGAAAGCTGCCTTCATATCGTGAAAACCAGCTTCATTCTTCTGAGGCAAAGCCCTTTTCATTCACCTGCTGTGTTATTTCCCTTGTAATTGTCTCTGGAGGTTCCTTTCCATGCTGCCCTTGGCCTCTGCCCCCCTTGAGGAACCTCTGGGCTCCTTTTATCACCCTGACCAGAGCTCAGGGGCTCTGCTGGCTCAGCGTGGGCAGACACTGCAGGGTTCAGGAGCTGAATCCTGCGTGCTGCTGTGTCCTGGATGTGTCCTGCAGCTGTGCAGTGTTCTCTGTCAGCAGCACTGTGTTCTCTGCTCTCCATGGTTTCTCTCTGCTCAGCTGCTGTTTTGTAGCTAAGGTGCTGTTTTTAACATGATGTCCCCAGTTTTCTGAGGGAAAGGCAGAGGTGTTCAGGAGCTGAAACCATGATGACATGAACTGTTCTTACAGTTCTCCAGCATCTCCTTTGCTTGGCTTTGAAAACCCACAAACAAGAATATTCTGATTTCTGGTTTAGAATATGAAGGTGGAAGGTCCAAGCTGCTACCTTGTAATGCTCTGCCTCTGAAATGCCAGCGTGTCTTCTCAAGTCTGTGAGGGATTCTTGCTGTAGTCGCTGCTTCAGTTGTGTTTTAAACACAGGAGATTTTTAAAATGCATTATTTCTATGGCAACAAGGCCTTGGCAGCTGGCAGAACCCCAGTGTGTGTGATCAGAGCCATGGATGTGCACTGGAAGCCCTGGTCCCTGTGGGTGAGGAGTGCAGGAGCAGAGGGGAGAGAGCTGCAATGGCCTCACCTTTGGAGGCTGTGGCTGCTGGAGCTGCTCAGAGGAGGAGAATCGAGGTTCCTCTCCCCTCAGGAATAACCCAGGGACTCTGTGAGTGCTGCTGGAGCTGCTCAGGATGGGACACGAGGTTCCTCTCCCCTCAGGAGGAACCCAGGGACTGTGTGAGTCCTGCAGGACCAGATGTTGAGGTGTATCCACATCTGTTGATTTGAGGCTGACATGAGCCCTGAAGTGTGAGCTTAGCTAGCTCCCCCAACACTTTTAATTAGCACAATTAAATTAATTAATTTAATCTTAAATACCACACGACTGCCTGACTCTCTGCTGGTATGCTGGAAATTCAGGAGCCCCGTGACCTTGTGTTAGTAATGTCAGAAGAGGTGTGGAAATCCTGTTGTAGTTTTGGTTCTGACATTTCCTATCTCCTAAATCAAGCCCCATATTTTAAATGTGGATGTTTGAATTTTCCTTTGATTAGAGCTGTCACAGGTGATCTCTGAGAAAATAGGATTTCTATAAGCAGCTTTCCAAAGAGTGTAAGAAAAAGATAGTATTTCTGTGGTTTTTTTTCCTTCATAGATAAATGATCATTCTAGTCTTCATTTTAGGGAGATAATACAGATTTTTAGACTGTGTTACTTGCTCATATGTAATGTGAATCCAGCTAAAGATCTCTTTCATGAATCATCCAGCTAATGCAGAGAATTACCTGGCCCTGCTTTCATGGTGGATTCAAATTGCTTTGAAGCTTTTCTTTCTGCATCAAGTCATGACTTGCCAGAGGCTTTGCAAGAAGATTTGGCATGCTGGAGGTAACTTCTACCTTTGAAACTGTCAGATAAACTTTTCAAGCACTGCAGACTCGGTGAGTCTGTACTCATCCATTACAGGATTATCATTGCGTTGAAATGATGGTTGGAGGAAACATCTTCTGGGATTTCTCTGTGCACAGAATAAAAAGGGCTTGCAGAACTCAGCACAGAATCATTTTTAAAATAACTTAGTACTGTGTATTTGTTTTTCTCTGAGGTATTTATAATGTTACCAGCTGTATATGGAATGATCATATCATGCCAGCCTTTCCCTCTTCTGCTTGTGCTAACAGGAATATTTTTTTAAGTTGCTCAAGTGAAGGGTGTGGGAGTAGTATGCTGTAATTTCTGTGGAATTTCTGATTAGAAGATGTGTTCACATTTCACAGTTTGGAGGACAGGGAGGGTCAAGGAGGAGAAAAACAAAAGCCACAGGCTGCACAGGAATACCTGAACGCTTTATCCTTTTTGAGTTGTTATGAAATTGCAGCTATTGAGTGGAAACTCAGGATTCTCCACTGGTTTTATTGAAACTGGTGCAAATGAGTTTCCATGGAGTGGAAGGAAGCAGTGCACCATTTTTGATTCTCTTCTGCTTTTTGCTTTCCTGGCGCTCTCAAAACCAATTTCACATCTTGTAGACTGCTACAAATATTTGATTGTTAATTAACCCCAAATCTAGCATTCAAAAATTGGAAATTTAAATCTGTTTGGTTTAATTGATATGGATTTTATAGAACATGTGTAGCACCTTTAATGAAGTAAGAAATATTTTTTTGCATGCAGCCAGGCTAGCATAAGCAAACTACTGGGCCTGGCACCAAAATTGTGATGCTGTTGTTTTCCAGTATTATAATTGTGTGTTGTTGTTTTGATCCTGTGTTTTCAGAGTTAGAACCCTGTGACTTTACAACGTGATGTCAGCCATAAAGGATTATGACATCATTAAACAGAGATGTAACAGAATGAGGTATTTCAAGCTTCTGTTTAGCTGACGTTTTCATGTGGCTGTAAAGCTGTACAAGTTTAAAATGAATGTAAAACTGTGAGACATAAACCAAACAAACCAGCAATAGGCAGGCCCAAACACAAGTTCCAAAGGGATGTGTAAATCCCAATGCCAAGAAGATTGGCAAATTTAGGCACTAGAAGCAGCAAGAGCAGAAAAAGCTGTAACAAAATGATGGCAGAAGAATTATCTTTGGATAATCATTCCCACTCTTTGTAACAGGAAAGCTTTTGGCATAGAAACATTTAAATCTCATTGGTTCATTGTTATACTTCCTATAAGTGCAGTTCTATCAACACACACGAGTTTTCAGCACAGCTTTGCCTTTCTTACATAAAAGGATGTGATATTTGTTAAAAGCACCTTCACTGCTGATTCTGCTTCTCTCATTTAAAACAGAATTCTGCATGCAAATGAATACAGGAACATGAAATATATCTAGAACATTTTCTGTATGATATCTCTCTAAAAACAGGGTTAAGCTAAGGATCCCTGTGTCTTTGTCTGGAAGGCAGGAAGGGACCTCAGCCTTCCCTGGAAGGGTTTGGATGTGGTACCAAAGGCAGAGCACGTGGGAGCGCATCTGGATCACATCTCAGCATCATCTCCTGCAGCCTGCCAGGGCACAGCAGGGAAACACTGCCTGGAGAGGGCTGGAATCAGCCTTGCAGCCTGCCAGGGCACAGGAGGGAAATGCCTGGAGAGGGCTGGAATCAGCCTTGCAGACAGCTGGCAGTGCTCCCTGCCCAGCTGAGTGCTGCCTGGTGGCAGGGCTCATCCCTGCCCGTTCCTGGCTCTCTTCTCCTGCCTGGCTGCAGGTGGAACAGAGCCCCAGAGTGAGTGGGGAGCCACAGCACTGATGTCCTGTTTGAAGGAGGAAGCAGAGGGAAAGCTTCTTATGTGTGTATCCAGCCCTGGGTTCTTTTCTTCTTAATTGAGCTGCTCTTGGAGAAGTTCTGAATTTATGACAGGGTAAAATTCCTTGTTATGAGGAAACCTGGAGACTTGAAAACATATAAAAGGAAATTCAGTGTTGTGATGTGGGAAACATTCCTCAGCTCCTTGCAGTAACAACATGTCAATATATTTTTGTTGGCTTGACAATATGAAGGAAATGTCTTTGATTTTCTAAAATTGCATGTAATTTCTCAACATTTCTTTTGATTCTATTGATTAAAGCTGTTCTGCCTGCCTAGAGACATTAAATAGCAAACCATCTGCTAAAAGTGGATTGGCAACATGCCTGAAAATTACCATTTAAAAAAAAAAAGTTTAGCCTAAATATATTTCAAAGACTGTTTCTATTTGTGTTCTGAGATGAAGGGGGAAGACAAAAGCTTCTGTTATGGTCTGGCAAAAGGTTGCAATAGCTGGTGAAAGAGCAGTTTTGTGTTGCCCCTGTGGGGAGAGAGGTGTTGTCTGTGGCAGGACACTCGTGGTGTGTGTTCAGCACCTGGGTCCCTTTGGCAGGGACAGGGATGGGCAGCAGCCAGCCCAGAGCATCCCCTGGGTGTGCAGAGCTGCCCTGCCTGCAGGCACTTGTTCCAGGGGCCAAGGGTGGCTTACACAGGAATCCCTGAGCCCCAAGGGCTGCTGGAACACTGAGCTGGTAAATACTAAACTGGGGTGACTGTGGAGAGTGGGGTTTTTGGGGTTTTTTTTTTGGTTATGCTTAGTTCTACTCACCAGTGACTTTCTGCTTGCTGTTTTTCACAAAGACCTTCGTGTGAGCAGCTTTTGGGCTGTCAGTGGCTGTCCTGAAGCTGGAGCAGAATGCTTCCAGGAACAAGAGCTCTCAGAATGTTGAAGTGTTGGGTCAGCCACAGGGAATGTTTCTTGGCAGGTTAAGGCAAAAACCTTGTGCATTTTTTGTGTCTGTTTTTGCCAGGTAAGAATGCCATGTACCTTCTATAAGAAATGTGTTTCTCTGTCTTAGGGGAAGAAGGAACAGAGAGAAAGAGTTATTCAGTGCTCTGTGTGATGGCACAGATTCAGTGGAAGATAGTTCTGGGTATTTGCTTCTTCAGCAACCGGATTATTATTTCTGACCATCCAGTTAAAACCAACTTCTAAGTAGTAAAGTAACCTCTGAAGGCACTCACACCCTTTCTGTTACTGAAATAAAGATAAAAGGGTTTTATTTGAAAGTGAGAGCAAGGAAGATTTGGGAGTGACTGTTCTGTTATAAGAATTTTTTCTCACCTTAAGATACTGATAGATACTAAATAAATAATGTTTTTAGGCTGCATTCTGCCCACAGAAGGAGTGGAGCAGAGAGCCCCTGGGCTGAGTTCTGGCAGTGTGGGAGGGAGCAGAGCAGGGGAAGGCAGGGACTTGCTCCCTGTCCCCTCTGCTGTTCCACAGCTCTGCCCTGGGGTCCCACCAGGGATGGGGAGGGGGCTCCTGGGCAGCTCCTGTCTGCACAGCACCTCACTGAGGTGTGAGGATGGGCAGGGGAGGCAGCAGCACCGCATTCAGCAGTGCACAAGTGACATTAGGAGTGACATGACACAGCGTGCCCGAGTGCAGGCAGTGGCACTCATCAGCCATGGGCTCCCTGTGCTGCTGGTTCAGGCTGGGGCTGGGCTGGCTCTCTGGTTCAGGTTCTGCCTGTTCCACACTGGGGACACGGCCTGGGGACATGGGGACACAGCCAGGGGACATGGGGACACAGCCTGGGGACACAGCCTGGGGACATGGGGACACAGCCAGGGGACACAGCCAGGGGACACGGCCTGGGGACATGGGGACACAGCCTGGGGACATGGGGACACAGCCAGGGGACACAGCCTGGGGACACAGCCTGGGGACATGGGGACACAGCCAGGGGACACAGCCAGGGGACACGGCCTGGGGACATGGGGACACAGCCTGGGGACACAGCCTGGGGACATGGGGACACAGCCTGGGGACACAGCCTGGGGACACAGCTGGGGACAGCCTTGGGGCTCAGTCACAGCACCAGCCCCGGACAGGGACAGCCAGGAGAGCAAAGAAATGGTGCAGCAGCAATGTGGGATGGAGCAGGTTAGCTCTGCTACATTCTGCTAAGGAGAAAGCATCATTTTACTTTAAAAAAACAATTATCTCTTCTGCTCTCTGTTCAATGTTTATGCTACACATTTTTTAAGAGTGACTTTGGATTTGCCTTTGTGCTATTTGATGAGAACAGATGTTATTTTCTCCCAACTTCTTGACACCTGGAACTGTCAAAATTCCCCATGCTCATTCAATTATCATCCAACAAGAAGGATTTATTCAAGCAATTTGCCTAGAAGGGCCAATTCAAAACAAGGTACCCTTTTCACTGCTATTAAAATAAACTCAAGAAGTCCTGTTTATTTCACTGGAATGGGTAGCTCTGTCTTTTAGATAAAAAAAATAAAAATGCAGTTTTATGATGTCAGGAATAACACTGGGAGTAGAAGGCCCCCACTGCAGGAATTTTCACATTTACATTTCCCATCTTTCAGTTCCAGCATTTTAAAGGGAAGTCTTGCACCCCCCCTTAAGTGGTCAAACATTCCCCTAAGGGTAGCTGTTGTTACTGATAGCTGAGACCTGAGCACGGTGTTCTGGCCCCTTGCTTTTCCCAGCCCTGAGCAGGATGTGTTCTCAAGTCATCTCATGTCTAGCAGTGTTCTTGTTTCAGCTTGCCTTGGCAGCTCCAGAGCCAAAATGTGAACTACAATGGATTGACTAGAGATACAAAGGAGGTTGCAGTCAAGCAATTAGAATTTGGTTGAAAATTTAAATGGTTTTAACCACTGCAGCCATGCCATGTGGCAGAATATACTCGAGGCCCAGTGAAGAGCATGATGACCTTTCCCCTTTTCCCCTTTACCACTTCTCCCCTTTTTATTTTTTCCCATTAGTTAACTTATTAATATCTTGTGTTTCCTAGGGATGGTTCCTCCCCCCACCATTAATCTCATTATTTAAACCTTGTGCTGCTGTGTTGTAGTAAGTCTGGAGTTTTCAGCTGGTGGACTTTGGGAACTGGCAGATAAAAGCTGTCAGGAAAAGGGAAGCTGGGCCATGGCACATCTGTTACAAACAACAAACTGCAAACAGCAGTGCCCATGCTGCCTATCTCCTTGAAAGAGATTTTTGGTAACTAAGTGGCTGCTAAAATGTCTTTGCTAAACTCTGTAAGCAGCCAGATTTCAGTGGGTACTTACAATGCAAAACAGCATAAGGGGGAATGAAAATTCATTTCTCTCTAGCAACTTGATCCACTTCACTGAAAAGCCCCAAGGGCAGGGTCAGTCTCCTTGTGTTCTTGTTGTAACTGGGTTTCCAGGCAGGTGGAGCAGCCCCTTGTTCCTTCCTCAGGAATGCCATTCTCCATTCCCGGGATGCCTCAGCCCTGAGCTGAGAGCTGGGAGAAAGGCTCCAGGGGCTGAGTGCAAGCTGATTCCAGTTGTTCAGTGTGGCCACCTTCTTGAATGACTTTGTTTGTTGATTCACACATTTTAAATTGGCTCTTGATTGCCCTGACACGCTTCAGCCACTGCCTGTTACCTGGCACAAAAGTGCAGTGGAATCATTAGTGTGAGTAAAATCTTTCAGATTAGAAATGATGACAAAACACCAGCTGTCAGAGGAGCAGAATTTCAGTGAGGTGGTTTTGAAAAACTTGGAAGCCCCATTTCTACAGGTCTCTGAGATATGTTTTGATTTTTTTCCTGTAAGTTACTTTGGAGCCTTCACTGCTTTATCTCCTTTGGTGTGTAAAGAAAAAAAAAATTAAATTGCTTGAGGATCAGGATTTTCCCACAGGGAGCTGGGGGTAAAACACCAGCTCATAGAAATTCTGAGGCATTCACACAATACATTTTAGTTATTATGTATTTGGTTAAAATTCTTACCAGTAATGTTGGCATTAAAAGGAGGAATGAGATACCTACTGGGTTATCTCATAGGCTTTCTGTTTTTACTTCTGAATCTGAATTATTAAGAAAGCAATCTGTCTACCTTTATAGAAGCTTTGGAACCTAGCCATCAAACTGATGGAATCTGAGGATTAATATCTTGGAAATAACTATGTCCATGTATGTCTCCTCCAGCTAATGGAGGGAGACACTGCTGGTACTCTCTTGTGCCAGTGGAAAAGCTGCATTTATTAACATTCACTGTCAGACAGGGTGCCTGGGAAAGAACACTTATTTCATCATGTCCCAGGTCCCTCCTGTGCTTTTGGGAAGGGTTTCTGAGCAGAAATGGGGCTGTTCATTGTGCTGAGCTGGTGATGCTGGTCTGTGCTGTGGTGTTTCCTTTCCATCAGCTGAACTGAGCTCTCACTGCACGTGGACCAGAAACTGGGACACAGCAAAATCATCAGCACGATCAGCAAATGAGACAAAAACTGTACTTTGATATTTCCAGACACTTGCAGGAGATCATCTGAGCTGGCTGACCTCTTGCTCAGCTTGATGGGGTGACCTGGGCTTTCAGAGTGGCTGAAATTGTGAGTAGGAAATGGAGCAGCTGGAATTCAGCATCTCTGGGAATGGGACAGTGAAACATCAGGATGGGTGTTCACCACTCCAGTCTTCATTTCAGGAGGCAGCTGTGCTGTTTGCAAGGACCAGAGGATGCAGAAGTCAGTGAAGCCTGGATGGAACATTGCACACTTGCAGAGCTTGGCAGCCTCAGTCAGTGGGAAGGGCTGAGCTTTTACACATTTAGGCTTATTTATTACAAGGCTGGGAATCTCCAACCACACCATCCCAATGGGACAGAGCAAGTGTTCAGTGTCAGAATTCCTGGGGATCGTTTCTGTCACTGGCTGAAGGCTGTTCCTGGTTGCTCAGCACGTGTGGCAATCTCCATTTAGCAATCAGCATTTCACAGCTGTGGGTGGCATTTGGCATTCCTCAGAGCACTGACTTCATCACTGCAGTTAGCCAGCTGATTTTTACATGATCATTTGCCCTTCTGCAGGAACCTGAACTTGAAAACCAATTGTCAGTAAAGTTCTTTGCCACTGAGCAGCAGGAAATAAGGATGTCAGCAAGACCTGCTGATGGCCAAGCTGTGGCTCAGAATTTTGGTGTACTATTCCCTGACATCTGTTTTCTAATCATTCTTAAATTAAAGTCAGCTTTCCAAGACATAAAATATTCTCAGTGTAGTGAGCGCTGTCTTCACCCTGTATTAAGGTGCAGACAGGCCTCTGAGCCTGTGTGTAGGGAATTACAACATCTCTCTGGATTTGCAGTTCCCAGCTGGCAGAAAGCTCTCCCAGATTTCCATCTGGGCCTCCACAGCCACTGGAGCAGGATCATTATTGCTAATGGGATGATGAGTTACAGGAAAGATGAGTGCTGGTGGAAAGCTGCCTGTTGGGATGCTGGGATCCAGAGTAATTCTTTCACTGAATGCTCCTTTGGACCATCAATATCCTCTGGACATCACTGCTGGCTGTTCTGCCAGCAGCTGGGGGTGATTTTTCTTCCATCCTGGCACAGGTGACAGGTTGAGCTTGCTGAGCTGATTAATATCCCTAAACAAAAGCTTCAGTGTTTACTGTTCTAGAAGGAGGCTTGTCAAATTCAATCAGTCATTATATTTACATGGCAAATTGTTTTTGGGCTGTATCATAATCAGCCTGGATAAGAATATTTTTGTGCAGCAAAGCACAGAAACTTAACACTGTTTGGGGCCTTCTGCAATAAACAGCATGGCTAAAAGAATGCTTGCAGCAGGAAGATAAATATTGTTACATTTTTAATAAGTGTGGTTTTTTTTCCTGCCATAATGGAAATTCTTTTGCTGTTTTTGTTGGGAAAATTCTTTGTTAGAGGACACACTTCTCTCCTCTTGCTGAGGCTCAGTTTGTATGCTGGCTGCTTTGGGAAGGTGCCAGCTGACCTTGTGACAGTTCTGTTCACAGTGGCACTGGGGCCCTGGTGCTGTTTGTTTCTGTCACTGGTGTGGATGCATTTCCTTTTCTTGCTCTGCACAGGGAATACTCCCCTGAACTTTTAAATTCGTAAGGAAGAAATAAAGATGTGCAAGGAAGGCGCCTGTTTCTTTCTGGGAACAGATTTTTACGGTGCAGATGTAGTTTCAAGCTCCCTTTTGCAATTGTGTGCTGTTTCAGGGTGGCAGAGCAGGCACACTTGCAGGGTTTCCATGTCC